TATTGAAGTGGAGATCGCTAAACTGCAAGCTAGCCGCTGTTTTCAGAAAGCAAGCGTTTAGCCACAGTGGAGAGAGAGCGCGCGTGCACAGGGTTGCCAGGTTGACAAAGATAAGTAGCACATTTATCAGATATTTCCGTATTGCGCAAGTGTGAAGCTCTGTTTCGGGGATTACGTCTCTTCATATCAGGCAACCCAGTTGTAGCCTATATATTATGCGCTATTCATAATTTTTTAGAAACCTCGCAATTTTATACTCAATTTTAAACGTTGTAAAATTTTTAACAAATTCTGCTGCACACGTGCCACAATTTCGATACAGGGCCAGCTGTATCGATACTCGTATCGTCAAATCTCTGTGACAATACATCGTCGTATCGATATTTTGAACACAGCACTAACTGACAGTCTTCTTCACCTGATGTTTTGGTCACGTTCAGGCCCCACAAGCTTGTAAAACTCATCCAGGGAAGTAAGGTCACCCTCGGTAAGCAGCGAGGGTCCGCCGGCTCCTTGCAGTAGCTCTTGCCACACACTTTCATCCCCAAGTCGGTCAAGAAGGAACTGTAGCTCCAGAACTCGTTTCAGCCTTTTCTGTTCCACCTCTTCACGCTGGAGTTGCTCACGACGTGCCGCTTTCTTAACACACTTCTGGATCTATCCAAAGCAACAGATTGCGGGAGACATTCTCACTGATTCGTATAAACCTTCCAGTGAATTTCGGCTGTAGATCTATACACATTCACAACACAAAAAACAAACTGTAGGTCCTCAGGCTATGGAAGAGAGCAAATTCAATTTTCATGTACTCACTTCTTGACCCAATGCCAAAAAGCTCTTATGCAGTTCACGTGCAAACTCGAGGTTATGGATCATTTCCTGGTACTTAGACAGGGCTTCCTAAATTGATTTAGAAAAAGGACAAATTTCAGGAAACTGAAAAACAATTAACGGACAACAAAACTATGGAGTGTTTACCCACCAGCTGGTCCTGGTTGAGACGTTCTCCTTTGCTGTTTCTGGCCTGATAGTCATCAAGCTTGCTCTGCAAGAAGAGAAGTGACAAAGAAATATAAATAAATTTGAAAAATAAAAAAGCAGTATAATAAAATGACAGTACATTGGAGAAGTCATCTCACAGGTTTATGCATTCATTTCCCCATCTCAAAATCCAACTGAATTGGTCATCACAACAATATATGACACAGATAAAGCCTCTCAGAAAAGCAAGAATACAAATGAGTGCCTATATATATATATATATCTTTAAAAATTCTGTGATCAGTAAGATTAATGTTTTTGAAAGAAGTCTATCAGTCTTCAGTGTCAAATGATCCTTCAGAAACAATTCTAATATGCTAATCTGGTTGCTCCGCTTAATATTTTTTAGAAAACAGTTATAAAATCTTCAGGATTCTTTGAATAGAAAGTTTAAATTAGCAGCATTTAGGCTATTTGATATAGATTTTTTTGTAACATTATCCATGTTTTTCAATGTCACTTTTGATTAGTTTTATGCATCCTTGGCTGAACTGTACAAAAAATGCATTGCACATAATATTTTTTAATTATGAAACCAATTTCCCATTCAAAGTGGATCAAGAGCAAGGACTTTGTTCCGGAAACCTCCAACATGTGGTTGAGTTATGTGGAGATTATCCCATTTCACAGAGTTGGTGAGAGATGGCAAGTTCACTTTCCACAAATGTCAGAATCAGAATGGACATCCAAGACATGAAGGCACACAAGACATGATGCCATAACTGTTCATTAGCCTAAATAAATCCATTAAAAGAAATGGCAGTCACTAATCACTTAATGGAAAACAAAAATAATTTCTGTCTGTCTGTCTGTCTGTCTAGCATTCTGCTTAAGATCCACTTTTGTGTTCCACAATAGTTTAACAGGTTTGAAACCACATGAAGGCGGAGACAATGACAAAATAATTTTTTTGCCCAGTGAATTATCCTTTTAACGAAATATATCCCTTACTTTTCACACACAATCATTAAGCTAATAAATAAACCAATATAAAAGCAATGTGCTGCACTGTCACCAAGTAAAAAGTTTCTCTGGCGAAGCTCAGAAACCTGCAGGATCCAAAGGTGCTTTACTGCGTGTCCTGAGGACACACCTGCCTCTGACCCATTTACCTCGACAAAAAACCCACATCAGCACAAGCCTGAGAGCATCCAAAACATTAACAACTCATTTAAATGCATTTTTGCGCTGACAATTTCCCCATTTTTAGCATGCTGAACCTGTTTTAGGACGCCATATTAGCTTTATCTCCATCTCCATGTGAGCGTGAAACAAATAGTGATCCTAGAAACTAACAAAAATCAAGAAATATAATCGTGAATTATATAGAGAAGGTAAATAAGTAATTATGTAAATACATTTGTCAAGAGAAATGGAATAACGTCAAAAGTTGACCGGCTAGCATGTGCTAAAACTATGAACGATATCCGGTTAGCATTTGTGGTTGACGATGCAGAGAACAGTGAAAAGGGCACAATTGTATGAATTTAAGAGATTTACCTTTACGTTAAAGATGTTGGTTCATACAACATGACTTAAATGCATTTAATAGAGCAATGGTTTCATAAACATTTAATGAGCCTGGCTAACTGCGTTAGAGAAGGTTTCCCTACATGGTCGATCAAACTTCATAATAAGTTTTTGACATTAAAATGTGGCCCATTAAACCCATTTATGGTCCATTTACCAACAGATCACACCATTGAGATCCAAGGACGATGTGTTTTTAAATCAACTGACATATTCATAAGAAATGCATGTAAACTCTGATCGATAAGATTTGTGTGAAATATATAACGGAGTACAAAAGGCACGAGTGATGTGGGTTAGGGGAATGAACCCGGAGGATGTGGGACAACAAAAACGTAGTTTATCTATACATTTCTGTGCTAATATTAGTTATGCTAAAGTTGACATGTTGAAACCGGTACCTTTTTCTTCTCCATACTGCGCACTTTCTTTTCAAGAACCACCAGCACTTGCTTCGTGGCCTCTGATTGAGTTCCAGTCAGCTGGTTGCTGGCTGTGATTTGGTTAATTGATCCGGGAGCAAATCCCAAGTCTGGGCTGGCAGACTTCACAGTCCTGGTGCCATTTGTTGCCGAGGGCATCTGATCAAGGATAAAGGACAAGTTTTAATATCGGAGTATAACAAAAAAAAATGAAGGAATAAAACACTAAAATGCTGAAAGCATCCGATTGAGTGGCAGTGAGATGATCATCATTTGAGGCGGAACATGATGTAACTTAAATGGTGATCGACGATGGTTTCATTTTCGATTATATCACATTTTGATCGACCAAATCTTTCAATTATGATACCAAGTGCTAGATGTTAATCATACATGTTCAAATAATTATGTAATCATATAACGCCATTATATAACGAAATTATACAGATAAGATTTTGTCTGATAGTAGCACATCTTCAGCTGAACACGACAATGAAGTACGATAAATATATGAATATTTTTCAATAATTCAAAATTATAAAGATATTTCACAAACGCTAGAAGTAGACTGCAAAATTCCAAAACACTGTCATAGCAACCCATTGTCCGCATTTTAAACTGAAACGGTGTCCAAATCATCACTGGATCTACTCTATAACGTTCACGTCTATGATTTGGATCCATATATGCGCTCACCTTTATGCGCAATATATCCACCAGGGAGAAAAGTAATCGTCTGGAGGCAAATAAGTCGAAGCGTTGATTGTGTTGCTTTTATTTTCTCTTCCAATTTACTATAGGATCAGCCTCGCCGGCCTCACCGACAACTGAGAGCGACTGAAAGGCGAGGAAAAGGTTTATATGAGAAAGGACCCCGTTTAGAGTCGACCAGGATTTTGCCTGTGTCCTACTGACATGTATATGCAGGTTATTATTGCGTTTACTTCTTGTCAAATGAATATACAACCAAATAATAAAGATAATTTATGAAACGCATAAGAAAGAGTCACGAAGATGGCAGAAAATACTAATATTTTATTCAGTTGCAAAGCAGGCATACAATGACTTCCTCATGTAGATTTGTCACTGAACGCGTGTGGTGAAAACGAACAGGCTGACTTTATATAAACCATAGACTGTATAAAGGAAAATAGGGTATTAAAAATGTGAGATTTAGTATTTTATTGTGGGACTGTGTTTTATTTTATTTCGTTGATAACCTTTTTTTCCCCTTCAATATCATGCTAAATTACCTCTTCACCGATTCTGCAACTGTTAACTTTCTTATTATTATTGTTTTAGTTTTCGCCTAAATATCAGGTATCTCATTTTTTAAACGACCAAACAAGTTCTTGCAACGCTACACCATTATTTAATATAGTTATTTAATGTAAATCAAACTGTGGTCCAGCAGATGGCACCAGACAGATTGAAGTGAATGCAGTCAACTCGAACTTTCCTGCAAAGTAAAATATGTACAAGCAATAAATGATTAAGTACATGCAATAAATGATTACAAGAATGACTAATTAATATGTAATCATTCACATTTTCTAATTTAGGTTGAGCACATTATGTAACAACATTTTAAGGCTATTCATTAATGCAAAATAAATTCTATTCTATTGCATACGTGTATCTTTTCAAGCTTATGAAGCATTTTTATTTCATTCAAGAAGTATTGAAATTGCAAAAATAATTTCATATAGATAGATATAAAAAAAATAAAGCTTTCTGTAAAAATCATAAACTATTCAAAAACAATGTGAATGCAGTTGCATGAGGTTTTGTTTGGCATATACAGGAAGCAGTTAACATGGTTGCTCTGCTCTTTGATAGCAATGTTCTATTGAAAGGGTGTTTTCTTTCAGGAATAATACTGATTAGAGGAAAATCTCATGGGAGAGTAAAGCTTTCTTTCAACGAGTGACTCATTTCCGCTCTCTGTTGTGTTTAGTAACAGCAGCAGCAGTCCTCAACTTAAACAGTCCATTAAAGGGGTCATATGATGCGATTTCAATTGTCGGAAGGAGGGACTTTGTAGAAAACGAAGCGTTTGAGAGAGGCGGGGCATAGAGGAACTACAATAATGTACAGTATTTGAAAAAGAATGTTTTTTCTGAACATTAAAGCATGTCAACATATTCTGTTACACCAAATACACAAAATAATGATCTTTAAAAAAGCATCATATGACCCCTTTAATATATCTATCAGTGTCACAAATATGGCTTCTACTTTAATCACTGATCATCTGAAGTTTACAATGAACAAACCACAAACTTGTAGTCACAACAATGTTTTTACTTAGTCCAAATAATGGTGTTCGCACAAGCTTCTCAAAAATGAGCCAACAATAGTTTACGCTATAAGATTAGGCAGGAAGCAGTAGCCTGGCTATTGCTGTTTCAGAATATATGCTATCAGAGAGTCAACAACACATCCAGGCTCTCTCCTTACAGGAAATACGCCTTACTGTGATTACGCAGCCTGTGATGGATCTCTTCTCCAGTAGGCTAAAGGCAGCCTATAGGTCCTAATTAAAACAGAACATGTCAAACACATCCAGTAAGAGGATATGTTTCAGTTTTTTGTTACTGAGTCAAGGCATGTTCCATGGCAAATGATCAGTCAATCCAATGGTATTTCCTATTAGGTCTGGACTTTCAATAAATCAGCCTACCCTTGCAGAGCCAAAGGACCAGGACACCAAGGGACTGATCTGCCCTAATATTCAGATTTCTGGTTAATCGGTATGACGTTTCAGTGGCTGATTTCTAAATCCTAAATCCATGTGCTAACAGCCTTGCAGAGTAACGAAAGTTATTTATTAATAACACTAAGCCTAATTCTAAACTGCTACATTATTTCAACACTGTCACAGTAGGTTTGGAATTCATGTCAAAGTAAGTGAGTAAATTCTGGTATACCTCAGGGTTATTTGCTTGTAATAAATCACATATTTATTAAAAAAAAATAATAATATATGTGATCCTGGACCACAAAACCAGTCTTAAGTCGCTGGGGTATATTTGTAGCAATAGCCAAAAATCAAAAATCTAAATTATCGATTTTTCTTTTATGCCAAAAATCATTAGAATATTAAATAAAGATCATGTTCCATGAAGATATTTTGTAAATTTCCTACCGTAAATATATTAAAACTTAATTTTTGATTGGTAATATGCATTGCTAAGAACTTCATTTGGACAACTTTAAAGGCTATTTTCTCAATATTTAGATTCTTTTGCACCCTCAGATTCCAGATATTCAAATAGTTGTATCTCGGCCAAATATTGTCCTATCCTAACAAACCATACATCAATGGAAAGTGTATTTATTCAGCTTTATAAACCTCAATTTCGAAAAATTGACACTTATTACTGGTTTTGTGGTCCATGGTCACATATCACAATTTAAATTTTATGCTATTATATACTATTTTAATGTCAGTAAAAGCTAAATTTAGGTCATTTTATTGTATGCTATAAAATGTATAACCTTTCCCTATGAGAACGTAAGTACGTACATATGTATGCATTTATTTCATTTTTAAATTGTTTTCTTCTCCAGTATGCCAAAAGGCTCAGTTAAAACAGAACAAGTAAAACACATCCAGTATGAGGCCAATCAAATGACATTTCCTACTAAGGCTGGACTTTCAATAAATCATACTTTCAACCTCAAGCCAAAAAAATACCATGGCTGTATAATCACTAGACAATGAGGGGCCACCATAGGGGGCGAATCTCCCCTAATATTCAGATTGCTGGTTAATAATTATTCAGTTTTTTTTATGGCTGATTCCTAATTCACTCCCAATCCTGAATATGTGGTTAAAGCTTGCAAAGTATTATCAGTCATCTATGATTAGATCAATGCTAGATTATTTCAATATTGTCACAAAAACTGGGAATTCGTTTACTCAACCTTTTTAAAATTAGTTTTTTGCTGTGCACCTGTTGCATTAATTCTGGGTTAAATATTAGGGATAATGGCCAAAGGTCAAAATGGCTAATAAAAACTTTAAAGGTATTACATAATTTTCATTTTTGGGTGAACTATCCCTTTAAGGCCTTTATTAGCCATTTTTTTGGCCTTTGACCTTTGAACTTTATCCCTGAAACATTCAACCCAGAATTAATGTAACAGTAAAAAAAAAGTTTTATAAGTTATTCCCTTCTTTTACAATGTTGAATAAATAAACTAAATATTGTGTACAATCTTTTCAATTTCACAGTTGAAATTTTATGCTGTTGTGCTATTTTTTTATATAATTTAATGCTATAAAATTTACAATTTGGAGCAAATCATGATATAGTCATATATGAAAAACAAACAAACAAACATGTAAAAAATAAAATCAATTTCAAATCTAAAATTATTTTTTATGTTAATTGTTTTTGGATTTTGGATAAAACAATTTAGCTTGTGTTAAATTTATTTCAGTTTCTGTTTCTACAGAAACTATAGATCAGTTCGGTTTTGCTGAAATTCCTTAGCCAAAGAATATTTTGCACTTTGCACAATATGTTGTATTGCTGTGGCTCTCAGATTTTCTTTGAATGTTTCTGAATGTATGACACTCCGCATTTTTAGAAAATAGCTAATAACATAGAGACATCATAAGCCATGATATGTTTACTACATCCCTAACCATTTATGAAGGAAACCTACCCAGAGTTAAGAAAGCTTTTCCTGCCAAGTAGATGGGTTGACAGTCAGTGGTTTCTGAGGCGCTGTCTCAAAAGCCCTTCTCCTATCAAGGGGGGCCATCTGGAGTTATCCAACCAATCAGAGTCCAGCAGGGTGATCAAGTGAAACGAGTAGGAAGTCAGCATGGCTCATACCACCCCCTGCCAAGGTTCATTTGTGCTCATTTCCTGTACATCCTCTGGGTTTGCTGTGTCCAATCCACAGGAAATGGTGGACGCCTTATACACACAGTTTAACAGCTATTAAAAAACAAACTGTCGAAGCAAACAAGTAAATGTTAGTTATGTTATCATCTGCGTTCTTGGGAAATCTGTTTCTCTAAAGTACTTAAGATTTTTGAATGTTTTTGAAAGAAGTCTCTTGTGCTCACCAGGGCTGCATTTATTTGTTCAAAAAATACAGTATGTTGTTTCTGTAATATTGTGAAATAGTATTACAATTTAAAATGTAATTTATTTCAGTGATTGCATAGCTGAATTTTCAGCAGCCTCCAGTCTTCAGTGTCACATCTTCAAGAAATCATTCTAATTCCTATTTTGGTGCTCAGTTATCAGTTATTATTGGTGTTCAATTATTAATAATGGTTCTTAATATTATCAACCGTTTTTGCTGCTTCATATTTTTGTGGAAACCGTGATCCGTTTTTTTTTTTATTTGGGATTCTTTGATGAATAGAAAGTTCGATGAAGAGCATTTATTTGAAATAGACATCTTTTGTAACATTATAAATGTCTTTACTGTCACTTTTGATAAAAGTTGATGCATCCTCGCTGAATAAATTAATTTTTTTCTGCAATTTATTTAAAATATTTTGATATCATGGTTTTCACAAAAATATTAATATATGGGATTTTATATTTTGCTAATTAAATTTATAATGAACAAAAGTGAACGAAAAAGGGGAAGAAAAAAGGGGGAAAATGAAAGAAAAATTGTTCCTACTCTCAACAAACCTTTATATTTGTTAGGATGAAATGTAGTTTTTCGAGTCAGAATAGTAAAGCAGTCAAATTATAGCTGAAGGGCGATCATTGACCTCACAGGGTTAGGGCCAGATTGGCACAGCCAACATTTGGCCGAGATGCTGCCACTGAAGACCCCAAGCATTGATGATGTCCGTGTTGTGCAGGGTGTTTTA